AAAGGGACGCTGTGGGTTTCAGGGTGAAGATCTTCTCTCACTACTCTAAAGGGCCCCTTTGGCAGTAGGAAACACATAGACTATTATGAAGATTGATTTTGGAATTTAGATGCACTCTTATTGATTGTGCTTGGCCGTACATGTTCATATCCTTGAAGAGTAGCTACCATTTATAACGAGCCTACTATGACCTGACCGGGAGCTGTGGTGGACTGGTGCGTAAGGAATTCCTCAATTCAATCGAACATGGTTCAAATCCACTAGCTGCTGCATGAGAAAAACATAGGCAATCAACTTCCATACAATTGACAGCCTATAACAACCTGCTGGAGGGTCAGTTATGATTCAATTCCTACACAACCACACATACCAACATAACTATGAATCAGTGTTATGAATCAGTGTACTGTTGTTATTTGCCATCGAGTCACATAGCGAATCATATACAACAATTCTCAAACCTACTCTATCCTGTGCCAACTTTACTGTCTCTGACACACCTACTCTCATTACCTCAGGCACTGAATCAATGCATCTCATCGATGGTCTTCCTATCCTGAGCTGTCTGTCCATCCTTCTAAGCATGATGTCCCCCTCCTTTGACTGTTCCTCCTCTTTGCAACATGCCTAAAGTCAAAGCTTCAGAATCCTTGCCTCGAAGGAGCAGCCTGGTTTCAACCTATCAAAGCTTAACCTGTTTATTTTCCTGGCAGTACATGGTATTATATTCAACACTCTTCTACAGCACCATTGCTCAAAAGCATCAATTCTCCTTCCATCATCCCTAGTTATTGTTCAACTCCCTGATGCACAGCAAGCAATTGCAAAGATTATGGCACACCTTAGTCTCCAAACTGACATTGTTGCTATTCAGTACGTTGGAAAGGTTCCTGACAGCCGACCCAATGCGATCTATCTCTTAATTTCCTGACTGCTGGTACCAAAAGTATTGATTGTGGAGGCAAGCAAACTAAAATCCCTTCACCATCCATCACGATGTTGCCAATTGGCCCAGTGGTGAAAATCTTTGTTTTCTTAATGTTGAGCTTCAATCCATATTGAAGGCTATAGTTAATATATAAATAACTTGTTCAAGTCCAAATAATTAGTGAGCAGAAAAGGCAGAATCCAGGTTCAGTTCATGTCTCCAAAGCCTGAGCTCTTTTTCACTAGACAATATATGCTCAATTTTTTGTCTTTTCTTCCCAATTAGCTCTGGGAAATAACTTTCATTTATTCTCTAAAACAACTCTTTTGTTCATCCAGGAGAGAAACCTGAAGAGGATTCTGTAGAATTTTTTTTCAGGATGACCTTCCAGAACCTTTCAGTCCAAGTTCTGACATGATGTAGCCCTGATCGTGAAACTCAAATTCTCTAAGTCTCTGCCTTTTTTTCCCTGCACCATGGGGATAACATCACCTACTTTACAAGATTACTGTAGGGGGGAGAAGGTAATGTACTTGAATGTGTCAAGTGATTCTGCAGTCATATTTTTGTCCACAGCAACTATCAGTATTTTGGAAGGCCAAATACAAGCGCTCAATGGAGATATGTTCTATGTCCTCTCATATTCTAACAGTCTCTACCACTCATGTACAAAGCTAGTAGTGTTTTCAAACATGCGACTCAGAGCACCACAATTGCAAGAAATAGCCAAACCTCAGAATCGGAGTTATGTAAAATATTTTATGAGACAAATTTATATTAAAAAAAAATCTAATGAATGGTTAAGAATGAGGGCTCTGGTGAAGAAAAAAAAAAATCAGAACTCTTTGTATGAAAAGAAGCTAACAGTGGTTCAAATTAGAAAAGCTTGTCATGAATTTAACTACTAATAAATACACGACCTAAAATACTGGAATAAAAAAAGAATTATTACTTTATTACTTTTCTTGTATCAGCAGCTTACTGCACACAACAAATTATGGTCCTTGATATATGCACGTTCTGGTCAAAACAGACAAAGTTTAAGGAATTGAATGCCAGGTGGCATATTTATCATCATTCATTTAATATGAAGCTAAGATTATTTAACAATAATCATGATGTTTTAACCATTAGTGCATCCCTACTAATTGTAAAAGAGTCAATTTGCTTACTTAAAATTTGACTGAGTTCAAGTCCATGTCTTTTGTGGTACCCCCTCACCCATGCATCATTTTGGACCTCTCCTTTATTTTGAATCTGTTGTCAATCTTGTGATATTCCTGGTATATCCAGGCTCAAACCTGCACAAGGGACAAATCGAAAGATGGTACTTTCTAACACTAGCTGTGACATGGACATGGGATTATTAAAAGGCATGAGGCCAGTAAAATTTGTGTTGGGGAATATATGTGGTAAAATTGAGCACTTACTGCCTTGAGGTCTTCATTAACATGAGTATCATTCATTATAAATTCAGGATAGCCAACTTTTGCCAGAACAGCTTTTGCCTGTAAAAAGGAAAATGAAAAAATTTGTCAGGATTTCAGTATTTATTAGTTTAACCATTAGCAATCACAGGAAGTACAAATGCAAAACTCTACTGAGTATCTACCATGGAGAAGTCACTGCGAATGGGAAAAACAAAGTCTCTGCCCCTACTAAAAATGTAAAAGAGGAACAAAATAACCATATCAAGAATGACTTGAGTAGAAATAGTCAATACTGTTATCAAAGTTGAGAGCAGTGACCAATGGCTTTCCTTTAACGGAGGAAGAAAGCCAGCTGAAGCTTGAGCAATGACTCGGATAACATGACTCAGGGTTGAGAGGGGAGGCATCCCAGTAGAAAATCAGCAGGAGCAGATGCAGGAAGACAGGAAGTATAAGGTCTATGTGAGTCATAGCAAGCATTCTGGTGCTGGACATTATGCACAGGAGGTAGAGGAGAAGTAAACAATGCAGGACATTGGCTTGGAGTCAGATCACAGGGATTCTTTAACATTATGCCCAATTTCCATTCTGTTGGGTCACCTTTTTTAGAAATCAGAACAAATATCTTTCAGCTGGTTGGCTAGGTAGCTATCCACCAAACTTCCTGGCACAGCATGGTGACCAGATCTAGGGCAGCATTTGTTTGTAGAAAAATGGTATTGCATTAAGTCCTGGGACCTCATCTGTTGCTACTGCCTTCAATGCAGCTTTAACTTCTTCATTCATCACCATTGGCTCTTGATTATATGCTACTTCCTGAAATGGCTCTGTGTTAAATTTTTTTGGTACATGGTATCTTTCAGTCCTCCAACTTGAGGCTTCAAGTTGTTTTTGAGGTCATTTATCTTGAGAAATGTCAAGTAGGTTCTTTTTATTATCCAACTCAAGCTGTTTACATAGTATAATACTACCTCCCTTTGAGTTGGCAGCATGAGTCCCTACCACTAAGTGGCCACAACTCCAATATGCTGATAACAGTAACAGTAAAACCAGAGAGACACTCACTTCTTAAAACAATCAATCATATATGGTTAAAGGCCTGGAAATGAGACCTGGCAATTTGACTGTGCCAGATAGGGTGCTAAGAGTCACAATCAACTTGACATGCATCTGATGTGGCTGTTGTTACATGCCATCAAGTCGCCTGCAACTGACAGCCACCCTATGTACAACAACTCTAAACCCAATCCTGAGCCAGTCTCACTGGCGTCAACATACCTAATGCCATCACCCAAGTTATTGTGACAGTCCATCTCATCTGGGGTCTGCCTATTCAAGTACAATTTGTAGTGATTTTAAAGAAGCAGGAGCAGTGTAATATTTTAACAGATGTTGTTATGTGCTATCTAGTCGACCAGGACCCATAGCGACTCTATATGCAATAGTTCTGAACCCTGCCCTAGCCTGAATCAGTCGGTCTCCAAAACACCTAGCAACATAACCCCAGTCATGTGGGGTCGTCCCTCTCCTTCAATGTCCCTCCACCCTTCCAAGCATGATGTCCTGGTGCGAGGACTGGTTCCTCCTGGCCACATGCCCAAAGTATGTGAGACAGCATCAAAATCAGAGTCTCCAAGGAGAAACTTGGTTTCAGAATCAATATCGGCAAGCAAGGTTGTATCATCTGGATAGCACAAGTTGTTGATGAGTCTTCCTCCAATACTAATGCCACACTCCTCCTCAAGTCTAAAAACTGATATAATAGGTCTGATTTCTGTAAAGGCAGCTTTGAATAAGAAAAATTTAAATCGTTGCCATATAAACTGATTGGTTCACTGATCCTAAAATGTCTACTACCTAACCCCTCTTGACAATGTTCAGTAACCTGTTATAGAAAAACGTTACAATTTCACATGGAATTCTCTCTTTATCCTTCCCTAGATTCAGGAGTTTTCACAAAAACAATTGAAAATGAAGGAGGACAAACATGCCTTACACCACTGTTGTTGTTATGTGATATCAAGTTGACTATGACTCATAGATACCTAATGCACTACAGTTCTGAGCTGTGCTCTACTCTAAGCCAATCTGTCTCTAGCACAACTAACCTCATTACTCAAGTGACTGTGCCAAATCCATCTAATCTGGGATCTCCTTTTCTTGAGATGTCCCTCGAACCTTCGAAACATGAAATCCGTCTCTAAAGACTCTTCCCTCCTGGCTACACATGAGCTAGAGTTCTAAAATCTTTGCCTCTAAAGAGGCGCTTGGTTTTAGCCTCTCCAGGACAGAATAGTTAGCTCTAGTATGTTCAATATTCTTAGTAGAACCACAATTCAAAGACATCAATGTTGCTTCTGTGATCTTTGGTCATTTTCCAGCTTTATGATGCATAGCTAGTAATTGCCAACATCTGGATCAGGCGTACCTAGACTCTCTAGACTGACATCCTTGCACTTTAGCACTTCAGAGAGGTCCTTGACAGCAGACGCCAAGAGTGCTGATTGTGAAACTGAGCAAGTGGAAATTGTTAAAGATCTATGATGATGCTGCCAATTGGCCCAGTGGTCAGAACCCTAGTTTTCTTGATGTTGGTCTTCAATTCATATTGCAAACTACAGTCCTTGACCATCTGCAACAAATGGTTCAGACCCTCAGTTACAGCAAATAAGATTGTGTCATCTGCATAATGCCACATAAGGCTGTAGATGAGTATTCTAACTCTGATGTCATATAGTCCAGCCTCTCAAATGATCTGTCCTGCACAAAGAAAAGGTATAGAGACAAGTTGCATCCCTGAGAAACTTCTTATGTGATTTTGAAACATGTAGTGTGACAACGCAAGAGAGGAAGACCCTCAATGAGATGGACTGATTTGGTGACTTTGATAATGGGTATAACTGAGTCAGAGAGGTTGGCTCCGGATAGAGCGAACTTCAGAGCTGATATACAAAGGGTCGGCACTTAACAAAAACAACAGTGTTTCCTTCTTCTGTTCTGACAACTGTTTCCTGGTCCAAGAATAGTTTTCACAAGAGCTCAATCAAGTATTGTGGAATTCTATTCTTCTTAAGATTCACCAGAATTTATTGGGATCTCTCCAGTCAAATGGCTTTGCATAGGCAATGGAACACAGACATCCCTCTGGTAATCTTTGCTTTCAGCCAAGATCCATCTGACACTGGCAATGATTTCCCTAGTGCTACCACCTCTTCGAAAAGGAGCCTGTACTTCTGTTAGTTCTCTGAACATATACTGTTCCAGTTGCTTTTTGATAATCTTCAGTAGGATTTTTCTTGCATGTATTCTTATTCTGGATTTAGACACTCTGTTGGATCACCTTTCTATGGAATGGGAATAAATATGGATGACTTGCAGGCAATTAACTAGGTGGATGTCCTCCAGATTTCTTGGCACAGCCTTGTGAACACTTCCAGGGGTGGATGTGTTTGTTGTAATATGTCCATTGGTATGACATCAATTCCTGCGGCCTTGTTTCTTGCCAATTACATGAGAACTTGAACTTCCTCCGTCATCACCACTGCTTCTTGAACATAAGTTGTTTTATGAAATACTATCAGCCAATTATGATTTTTATTTTATATTGATATTTTAATGGAAGTTTACAGAAAACTAGGATTTCCAATCATTCATTGTGGCACATTTTCCTACCTAATCCTCCCTCAAATCAACCTTCTCTTTAAAAAGATTCATCCATTGTTGCACAACTTCCTCCCTCTCCCACTCCTGAGACAGTTCTTTTTCGGTACAGTGACTCTGTATACTCCTACCATCTTCTTTTAATGCTTCCTGGATCATTCAATATAATGCTGATAGAATCCTTCAGTATTGCATTTCAGGGCTTGAACCTGTTCTTCAGTTTCTTCAGCTTAAGAAATGCTAAGTCAGACATTTCTTTTCCAACTCCAGCTCTTTGCATATTTCATAATAATACATTTTGATGCCTTTCTCACCTGTCCTCCGAAATTTTGTGTTCAACTCCTTAACTTCTTGGTTTCTGTTTGCTTTGGCTTGTCAGCGCTTTAGTGCAAAATTCAGAGACTCTTCTGACATCCATCTTGGTCTTTTCTTCATCTTTTGTCTTTGTAAGCACCTTTCAAATTCTTCATGAATAATATTCCTGATATCCTCCCATAGATCATCTAGCCTTTACTCATTTGTGTTCAAGACCTCCAGAATGCTAGAAATTTGACTGAGGGGGAAGGCACCTGAATTTTGATTGGGTTAATTTCCTGCCATCTTACTGGTAAGGAATTACGCTCCAAACATAAAGCCATATGGTTCAAATCCACGAATTACATGGGAGAAAGATGGACAACCCTAACCCTGATTTACTACCTCTGAAAACTGGACATGGAGGGTCATCTATGGGTCATTTCCATCTCCATGGTACACAACAAGAGAACACAATAAAAAAACCAGGCAACTTAATCAAAGAGTGGGACTCCAAGTGACAGGCAAGGTGGATTCTCCATTGGGATATCCTTCCCAACTCTAAGCGCCCCTCCCCAGTATTCATGGTCTTACTGTCATTGTGGCTAGTGACAGAAAAGACAAGAAGCTGGGCTATAAGACAAACGGTTCCAATCCACCAGGTGCTCTGCAGGAGAAAGAAGAACAATCTCCTCCCATGAAATGGCAGTTAATCATTGCCTCTGAAAACCCACCAGAGGGTCAGCTACAGGTCTGTTCTTATTGAATGGTAAACAACAACAAAGTGTTAGGATTAGAACTAAGAAGCTATACTAAAAAGCTTTTGCTTACACTTTAATTCTCAATGCACTAAAGTCGACTCTCCCAAAAGCCCTAAGATCGCTATGCAAGGTGCTACCTTGTCCAAGAGGCTCTGTTCTGGTCTCTTCTGCTGGCACAATTCTTTTACCTGTGCAAGAGGGGAAAAACTAGGGCACTGACCTCATGGTATTATTTTGGTATCAAAATCAGGGAAAATTTAAAAAATACACACTTCCACCTTCAAAGAAGACTTGTTCCTTCTGATTCTCATGGTTTTTTATTTTACTCCAAGCACTTCATTTACTTTAAACTTGCCATGTAAT